AAAATTAACTGGGCATCACATACAGAATCTTGAATTGCTTGCTCCTACAGTGAGACAGGAAACTGTAGAGACGAATGGAAGATCCAAGAGTTTTCAGGCGTTTCTGTTTGCTCTGAAAAGATGTGTTGTGCAAGCAGAAAGGAAGAATCAACTCATTTTGCTCAGTTAGGTGGGACAATTGACCCACATGGACACACTGTCCCACCCAAAGAGAAACAAAAGTAATGAACTTAATGAAGTACTTTAGCTATTTTAAATAAAAGGTTAAAAAAAAAAGAATACGCAAAATGTTTGCTAAGATGAGTCCTATAGCAGTGGCATTCATTCCATAAACCAGAAACAAGTAACATAGAACCTAGGATACTCGAGGCACTATGAAGAAGCCCTGTGCACATCAGAGGCCTTTGGTAGAAAATTGTGCTGGGCATTGAGCTGGAATAAATAACCACCACATATATATTTGCAATGCAATTAAGATCAACATAATGAAACTGCTTGAGATTTTAAACCTAAAAACTGAAAAGGTTTATTTTGTTGTTGTTGTTGTTTTGTTTTTTTTTTTTTTTAGTGACAAGAACCCAAATCAAGAGTAAGAATTAATGGCAACAGATGAGCAAATATCTGAAAACCAAGCTTTGAGAAACAGGAACTCTTAAGCACACTCTAATTTTCTTTTCTTGAAAAGAAAAAAAGGGCAATGTAATAAATTCATAGCTATAGAGTCCCAGATGCAAAAAACAGCAAAGACTCTGGTATGAATAAACATCGTAATATAAATCACTACATTTTCGTGTGAGAAGAATGCAGGCTCGTCTTACCTTATCGCTGCAAAAGGCTGGAATAAAAATTACTGGCTTAGAGAAGCAACATTCACATGTATCTGAACATCAAACACACACAGATATAAAAATCAAAAAATAACTAGAACAGAAAAAGTTTTCAGTCTGACCTTAAAAATACCGAGCAACTCACTAGATGAGACCAGATCAAAAGGAAGGGCATTACACCAGCTTGTAGCCAGATGTGAAGGAGTCCCAGGCTGCACGGGGCACAGATGGTATAAAATGGGGTGGCGGAGGGTGGGGGAGGACTACAAGAACATGAGAAACATGAGGCGAGCAAACCCGGTTTGTCTTACACAGGTAAGACAGCTTGAAAGGACGAGTCGCTTTCAAGCCAACTGATAAGATTTTAAACGTGAGGCAAATGTTGCTAGATGCCTCCAGCTGAAGTGTGCGCAAGGAGTTTAAGTTTGAAATTCTCTTGTGTACTAATTCAAAGGGGGGGGAAAATCTTACCAGAGTGTAAGGCCATGGGGACTTAGTGTAAGCAAATACCAAGGATCCAGCATCCACAATGCTTAAAAACACAGAAAGCCCCCCCCCCGCCCCCATAAAAGTCCGAGAAACTTGAAGGAAATTCAATATAGGCTCCCAAAACATCTCTGCTTGAGAAGAGCAAACGTACATGTGTATTAACATGTCCAAAGTCTTTAATAGTCCTCACTGATTATATAAAGTGAGAAAACCACACTCTTATTTTACCCTTTTGGCAAACACTGCTTCGTTGCATGTAAAAATGGATACATTAATTTCCCACCCAAAACTCAGAGAGGCATCGATTTTAGGAAGGATCATTTTTGTAACACAAACTTGCCAGTTTAATAGATCCCAAATGAACACTTCTTCCCCAACACTTAAAACAAAACAAAACAAAACAAAAAACCAAAGTAAAAAACACATCCAACCTTAATGTTCAAAGGTGAAACTGGAAATATTGTTTCATTGAATGAACCAGTCAATTTTTTTTTTTTTCAGGCAGCAACCCAAACAATAACATGTAACACACATTCCTGCAAACCCATGGTTTCGGAAGGACACAGAGCTTAGAATATCCAAAGGGCAGTTTATTGGATATTCTAATAAGCACAGCCGACACACACAGATACAATGAGACTATAAACTTCAGTAGCAAGATGGACAGGAAAGTGCTGACTTCATGATGACCTTTGCTTACCATCCACATGCTTTGGGGAGTGCCTATGTGATTCTTTGTAACACTGGGATGTATTAAAGCCTCCCTCCAGTTTAGTAACAGCTTGGCTAAGCTACGTTTAGAAAGTGACAATTAATTTTAGTGGAAACTCATTCCCAGGCTACTTTGATAGTCCTCCGAACAGTTTCGCGGTATTTTACATGCGCTTTTATAGCTCTGTAACATTCATTTAATCTTGTTCAATGATGCTGAACCCCAGATGCCATAAGACATTATAGAAAAGTAGTTACTGCACATATGGAGTAGCTACTTTTTTCTGAACATTAATTTTTCTTCTCTTAACAGGCTGAAATGTTATTTAGAAAAGAGAGAAGCCGTGGCTCTATATTAAAGGTTTATATTATGGACTTCCAGAAACGGGTTACTTATGATCACTGTGGTCCTAGCCATAAAATTCTTATTTATGAGTACCTTCCCTTTGACTAGTAATGTTTTGTTTTGTTTCCCAAGACTTGGTGCTCTGCCCTGCTATCAGGGTATCCGGGAGAGCTTGGTAAGGGGTTCCTCATCAGTTCTACACAGAGGTTAAGGTGTAAAGACTTGCATTAGGGTCATAGGGTACTAGCTCAAAATGCAGATGCCCAAAGCTCCAGGTGTGTAGCTGGGGAAGGTGCTTGAAAAGCTAGGGGGTAGTCCTTCTGCATGCTAAGCAGTCAGACCCTCTGGCTGATGATCTCGAAGGTCCCTTCTACTCCCACATTCTATGCCTTTGGGTTCTCTTTCAAATCTTGAGTCCTGTCAGCACCATGAAGGATAATGACTGACTTCTGGCCACAGCAGACTGACTAAAGGTAAGAAGTCTTTCTGTTCATCCATATGCAAACCAAACAAGTCAAAGGAAAAACTAAAGTAGTCTAGTTCAATGGTAAAGGAATCAATTCGCGGTTTTTGTTTTTTTTTTTTTTTTTTTCTTGAAAAAGGTGAAAATCCCAACTAACTGCCCTAGCAGCCCATTGTTGAGGGGATTTTTGTGTTTGTGTCACCCCACCCCTGCTTTTACTCTGTGACTCTCCAAATTCCAAGCTGAAGTGATATATAAATATATATACAGTCATTCCCCGACTTTCATTTCGTTCTTAAAGGCATTCTATAATTATCTAAAAAGAAAGGAATCCTAAAACTTTGTCATCATTAGCCCTGCTAACTAAATATTGAAACATTCCCTGTATTTTTATGTGTTTTATTTGTTTGTTTGTTTTCTCTCTTTATGAGTACTTAAAAGGCCAGGGGGAGGCTGGGAGCTGAGATGTTTAAAAGCATGTCTGGAGCATTCTGCCCGTGATTCGTTTTTATTAGGCGTATAAGAATTAAATGTCTATCACTAAATATGATTTGTATGCTCTCTACAGAAAGTTTCTGCCATGCGCCACAGCAGCATGTGGTGGAGATCTTCCCCGCATTCAGCAGGATGCATAGCAGACGCCTCTGGCCCAGAACTGTCAGCTGGAAAACAGCGCCACCATGCGATCGCTGCAGACGCTGTCAGTTTCGTGTGAACAGGAAAGTTGGGATCCTTGGGGACTGGAGCACCTGACAGCAGAGATCCACTTCCTGTCACACTACCGTGGTCTCTGGACCCCAAACCTAACACCACTCAGTCTGGGGAGTGAGAAAGAAGGAGCAGCTGTTGACATGAGTTTGTCTGAGCGTGTGCTGTTACTCTAGCCAGAGTGGGTCAGAGGCTCAGTGCTGAGCAGGGTAATCCGGTGGGGAGGCTAGACTGACAGACACGATTGTCTTCCTTACATAGGAAACTGTGCCCAGCTTTCCTGACGGCTAGATCCATCCTTCAATCAGGGACAAGTTCAGTCAAAGCTCCGCTGCCTCACTGTATACTGTGTCTACTAAACACAAGTCCATGTGAAAGCTCCTTCTGAGGGCAAAGTTTTATGGCTGTATTTACAGTGTAGACATGCTAAAGCAAAGGAGGGGCCAGGAAAGGTCTAGTGAACTTAACCTTACGGTTTCTCGGGGTCTTGTTTTCCTTCTCCTGTTTGTTCTCTGTCAAGGGACTCATGAATTAAATCACAGCATGGCAGGTCTGCTGGGTTAATTCACAAAGAGGAGAGAGCTAGGGAGAAAGAGGAAATCTTAAAAACATCCAGAAAGGGCTTATAAAAGTCACAGAAATGCTTCAGGGACAAGGTTTTCCTGGCTACACTCGTCCTGATTTGGTGGGTACATCTCTCCCACGTAGGCAAAAGCCTGCGCGATGTGACAATCAAGGGGATGGCAGGATGGAAGAGAACACATACGGGGTTCAGCCAGACTTCCTGGCTCTGCCTCATAGACTGAAGCCTGACGGGAGAAGGAAGCAAGTCCCTGGCTTCTGTGTGGTGCTCTGCAGAGTAGACAGGGCTGCACCTGCAGAACTTGACTGCCACACCAAGAGTCTACCGGAATCTACACTCGCCCCAGCAGTGGCCAAGATGGCTGAACTGCTCCGACACCAAGTCACATGCCCCAGATGTTGCCTCCCCCTCCCTCTCTCCACAGCATCAGCTTCTTTAAGGAGGCAATGGAAGGCTTTAAACTGCTTAAGTCAGCTCAGTTCTCATAAGAGTCAATTATGACTGAATATTCCATTAAAACCATTTCCTAAGAGAAGTTGACAAAATCCACTCAAAGTTATTCAGATGACAGGCTCTGAACACTGGGCAGGTTAAATCCTTCTCATGGTTATTGTTTTCCAAAGAGAAACAGCTGCAGAAGTTCACTGAGCCAAAAAAAAAAAAAAAAAAAATCTACTTTGTGTGCTTGTCATGTTTCATGTTCATAAACAATAGAAACTCGAAAGCATTAACATGAGCCTAACATTCCTATTTATTTTATTTTATTTTTACTTCAAAAACTACATACACGCAAAATTTGAACATGTCATCACAAATGCTTTAAATAAAGTTCAAAAATAAAAATTCCTCAAAATTTATTCACTTATGGAAATATTATATATATGACAATTATAATAATAAAGTCAATTATATCCTTTTTGCTAATCTACCAGAAAAATACTTATATTATAAAAAGGAATTTCATGTCCAGAATAAGTTTTAAATCCTTGAGTTATAATTTTAAAACAAGTTTAGAAACTGTTCAGAGAGATGCAGGTTATTTAGACAAACATGTCCTGGGATCTTTCGATAAGGATCCAATACCCTGAGGAGTGAAACTGTTGAGGGACTTAAAGTTCAGAAAAGAAGTACCTCTCAAACTCTGACAGCTAATTATTTTGGTTGAGTGTTTAGCAATGCAAGTGGAGGCCACGACTTTTATAAACAGGTGCTCCTGGGAGCCATTTAAAATCTCTGAATGGGGAATTTTGTTTACAAATGCATGTGGAAAGCTTGGAGCAGCCCCATCTCTCCTTCCCACAGTGCAAGGGGAATTAAAAACCCACCCTTCTGAGAAGTACAGAGGCTGCCTGGGTCCTGTGACTCTAAAGCCAAGTCCACACGAGGGAGGACCCTACTCAATGAAAATTACCAGGATGTGGGGCAAAGTTGAGAGGGGAATTGGAGCACTTGGGAGTAGATGTGACGCTCTGGAAGGTTTTCTTCCAACGAAACCATGTTATTTTGGTGGTATACTCCAGTATCTAATAACACAGGTAAGCAGGACTGAGACGCACTCAAGTTCAATGGTATGAGTGCCTGCGTGCTTCTGGCAACAGTGTGCAATGCGAACGAAGGGAAAAGATGCCTAGGCTGGAAGACCATCCATCTTCAGAGAGGATGCAAGGCAGGAGACAGGGCTCACTTAACAAAAGATGTGAGAATTAATTTGGAGAATCCAAAGTGGGTAAACATGGAAGAAGCTCCATGCCATACAAGTAATAAACATTGCCTCCTCTATGCATCAGAAATATAAGGTTTCCTCTCAGGACAAATCATGGGGCTTTTGTTGAAAAGGCCAGATTGGGATTCTGGTCAGAAATTCTTACACAGTTTGATTTTGGGCCTGACACTCAATTGTGATTAAAGTTTTCATGTTAGGCAAACCAACAATTTCTTTTCCTTACACTGCTTTTTAAAGGGGTTTTAAGATTTGTGTGCTGTCAGTGAGTGTGCTTTCTACGGACACACACACAAAGGAAACAATGCCCGGCTCACAGTGTGCAGGAAAGTGTCACAACAATTTATCAGAAAGGGGGTTTTGCTAGGCTAGGCTTCCTCCCAGTGCCCTGTGGCTTCACAGGCAGTCCTGTGGCGATTATGTAGATGTTCTTTAACAAGGTACAGTAGAGCTACTGAAGGGGAAACCCAATTCTTATGCCTCAGTGAAAGGGTGTGCAGAAAACAATAATTACCCTGAATACAAAATCTTGTGGGGAGGGGGAAGAGTGCAAAGAACAGAGAATTTAGAAAGCTTCAAAAAAAAATTAGTTTTCTTTTTCTTTCTCTCTTTTCTTTTTTTCTTTTAAAGCAAGTGATATGATGGCAGAAACCCACAAGCTCTCCCCCATCCCCACCTGCCACTTTTGAGTCCTAATCGCCCGGTCTGCAAGGACAGAAACCCACTCTAAAAGGACCAGCATCGGGCTTCGGCAAGTCTCCTCTTCACTCTCCCTCCTGTTAAGACCGTTTCCAAAACCAATCAGCAAAGGACAAAGAATTCTTTACAGAGTGCAATTAGTGTTTTCCACGTCCACCTTCAAAAGCATGATGCTCTTCATGGGCTAAAGGACAGAAAAAAACAAAAAAGAAAAGAAGGAAAGAAAACTTTAAGCAAAGGATGGGCCAACCCTCCTCTAGGCCTCTCATTCAGCTTCCCCCGATGTTGGCAAGAACTCAAATACCTTTTTTTTTTCTTTTCTTTTTTTTTTTTTTTTTTGCCAGTAACTATTAGCTAAGGCGTGCATTTACTGAGAAATGTAATAACGAAAATTAAAACAAGGAATAAACAAGCTATAGGATGCTGCCTGTTTCTTCTTGTCATGCCTGGAAGGGGGGGGGATGACTCATCCACACAAGCTGATGAGGAGAGTATGTTGGGGCTCTAGGCAAACGCTACTAGGAAAATGAGCCCAACAAAAAATGCATGGGAAGGGGAGGAACCTATGAACCAAGACAGAGCCATTCACAAGCCCATCTTCAAGAATAAAATAACACAAAAGAAAACAGAACCACACAAGATGGGGTGGGGATTATATTATGCCCCCTGCCTCTCATCACCTTTTGTGGGCAATGAAGTTTCATAGAGTCGATGGATCTACCATATTCCCCAACCCTCACCCTGCACCTCAGAGATTTTCAAAGTTTGTCTTGTAGAATTACTTATTAGGAAGCTGACAATTAAAATTATGCTCTCCAAAGACTTAAACTTCTTAAACTGGGAGAGAAGAAATGAGGGGCCCCTGAGACACCCAATATTAGCTGTAAGACAAAGGGCCAAGTTTGAGTGAGGTGTAGCTACCTGTCACTATGAGGCAAGTTTTGATACAGCCAGAGCTATTCTGACCAAGGGCTTCTGCTGGCTCCTCCAGCTGAGTAGCCACTACGCTACTCAGTAGCTACTCCGTAGCTCCTCCCATTCCTGATTTTAATTTAGACTACCGAGGGGAAAGATAGCTGGATGAGCAGATCCTCAGAGATCATCTCGGGTAGCCACTCTGAGCAGTAATTCATCTGGATAAACCACGGGAAAAGACCAGGGTGACTGGAATTGGACCTAACGTCTGCCTAAGTTTACCTGCACGTCTCCCACAACTCCAGCTTTCTAAGTATCTAATTCCTTGTCTTTATTTGAGTATGTTTCTGCATGCACCGGTACATTTGCCCGTGAAGGCTATGGGGGTAGGGAGGGAGGAAGACTGAGAGAACAGGGAAGGCAAGGAATAATCTCGGCTGTTCTTCCTCAGATGCTATCATCCATCTTACACTTTGAGACAGGGTCGGGTCTCTCACCGGCCTGGAACTTGCTAAAGGCTGGCCTGGCCAGCAAGCCCCAGAGATACCACCACACTCAGCCTTCTGGATGTGTGTCTGCATATGGATATGTGTGTTAAGTGGTGTGTGCGTGTGTAGATGTGTATTGCATATCTATGTACGTGTTGTATATATGTATTGTAATGTGTGTGTGTGTGTGTATGTGGTATGTGTGGGGGTGTGTATGTAGTATATCTTTGTATATATAGATGTAGTATGTAAACATGCTGTATGTGTGCCTGATTACACTGGTGCACATACCTGTGCCACGTGTCCAGAGGTTGTGGAAGGTTGTAGAAGGGCGCTATGGAAGGGCTTTGTCCCCTGGCATACTCCTTTGAGACAGGCTTTCTTACTCAATTTGAGGCTGGATTAGGACCAGAGAGTACTGACTGGTGAGCCTCCTTTCTCTGTCTACACAGTGCCAGGGTTACAGTGGGTATGGCAATGCCTAGCTCTTCCCATGGATGCTCAGATATGAACTCAGGTACTCATGCTTATAGAGCAAGCGCTGTTACGGAGCGATCTCTCCAGCCCTCGCCACTTTAGAGATTTATTCTTAACTATATGAACTTGTGGGGGGAAGGATCTACATGAGTGCAGATGCTTATGGAGTCCAGAATTGGGAGTCAGAACTGCTGGACCTGGAGTTTCAGACTGTCTTGGGTGCTGGGAATGGAACTCAGGTCATTTGCAACAGAAGTATATAATCCTAACGGCTCAGCCATCTCCCCAGGCCCTGCATTTCCCATTGTAAATATGGGATCTGGGGATTGAACTCAGGTCCCCTTATAGAGCTAGGTCCCTTACCCTAATCCTATCTTTAAGAAAGATGTTTTAAGGCAGACACTGGATAAAATATAGACTGGCCTTCAGTGAAATATACTATTCTTCAGGGCCAATTTAAGAAGCCACAGAATGATAGCAATGCTGATCTGCAAATTATAAACCCTGAGGCGGATATGATGCCAAGACTTTTCTTTTTTTTAATATTTATTATTATTTATACCTAATTCTGCCTGCATGTGGGCCTGCATGCCAGACCTCATTATAGATGGTTGTGAGCCATCATGTGGTTGCTGGGAATTGAACTCAGGACCTTTGGAAGAAGAGCCAGTGCTCTTAACCTCTGAGCCATCTCTCCAGACCCACCAAGACTTTTCTTATCTCTAGTTGTATGAGGTCAGGACAGCCACAGTGGAAACACTGAAGTGTCCGTGGTCACAACTCAACAGCAGGTACACTGCTGTAATGTGGGCATCTGGGCATCGAAGGCCTTTTTTCCTCCCTGGGGCAACCAGGGAAGCAATGAGAGGCGTGTTCTCAGATCCAAGAGCCAGCAGACACTTTAGAAGTAATCCATGCAGCCCTGACTGCTGAAGAAGCCACAGAAAATAGGGACACGAACGAGTGCTTCTTTAGGCAACCGGGTACTGACGGGTACTGAAATGTAATAGTTATAATGATCATGTTTCACAAACCAGTTTTGCTTTTTCCCAATCAGATGAAAATGGAGAGACTCCTCTCTGCTGCACCCACATGGAATGGTTCTCAGCACCCACAGGGAACTGAGAGGCTGGCTCAGCTTCCGTTCTGGGCTTTCCCATCCCTGCCCTACACAACGCTCACAACAGATAAGGGCCTTTGTCTTTGGGCTCTCCAAGGAACTTAAGGGAACTAGGGAGGGTGTGCATGAATGGTGACTTTCTCACTCAAATCATCAATCTGGACGGAGAAGAAATCAAATTAAGCGCCAGTGCCCAGTTCCTCGTCTGTGTGCTGCAGGCCAGGATCAGGTATACTTGGATTTTCCTGGCATCTAGCCAGCTGGCTTCTACAAACTCCAGAGTGCCAGGACCCCATTAATAACACAAAGGTGGCATGAACTGGCCAGCCACTTCCAGCTTAGCTCACCCGGGACTGACCTTAACCTGTGAACCAGTTTCTGTCCAGGCCTCACTTTTCCAGACCCCTTCTACAGCATGTGCTGGCAACCACGCTAAGTAAAGGACAGCCTGCTTCGAGTCAAATAATACAGGAAATTCCAATTTTTATTTTTTTATTCACACAGTCCGAGCTTTTAAATGTTAATGGGTGTCGTTAAAAAAGCCGTTTTCTGCTTAGACCTGCAGCTAGTTCCCTCTGACTCACACACCTGACAATGTTAGCTACCTTCAGGGTGTCTGTTCAGCTTTGACTCAACTGGCCTGGGCAAAACTTCCTTTCTCCTTGCTTGGTGTCCCCCATCCCCCACCCCAGGCCTCCTGCCAGCCACACCAACAGCTAAGCAGTGGACCGCCTACATTTGGTCATTCTTATGTGACTATGCCTTGGCCCTAAAGATAGGACCTACTTATGTAAGAGGATACTGACTTCACTTTGAGCTGCTGGCCAGTTTGTTACCTGTTAATTTGTTCACAGAACTGAAAAGTAGAAGGAACCTTGAAGATCATCTGAGACCAACCTTCTGGACACTCAGGTGACAGAGTGAAAGCAGGGTCAATTGTGACCACTTAGGGTCAGACCATTGAAGCACAGTGAACATCCAGTGACTCCCAACTGCTTCTTCCTCTGTTGAGTCAAGAGTTGGGCAGACTCAAGTGTGGGCCCACTTGAACTTGTTGCTAACTCACGTTTCCTTTTGCAGTTTCCACTAGTTATTCTTATGGACTGGAAACCAGAAAATACTTTGGAGACCTTTTGGTATCTGGGGTGAACTAGTTGGCATGTCTCTAGGAAACAGGAATGGTGTCCGTGTGCCTGCTCTGTCTCCACACTGCACAGCCGAGAGCAGTTCTTCAGGGTGCATTTTCTGTCTCTTCTGTTTTCAACTTTCTATCATGACTTGAGTTAGAGGATCCACGCCTCCTAAGCGCAGGGAGTACAGGGCTCTTCTCCCTGTGTGGATCCTTTGATTGTTGCTGCAGGAGTCCTCCCAGGGAGGCCTGAGTTTCCATCTGTGCTACAACACTAGGGCAATCACAAAGTTTGAATTGTTTAGCCTTTGACAAGGACCAGGACTAATGAGACAATGATGAAGTCTATTTCAGAGAGTCTAAGATGCCCCTGCTCTGTCCCCTGCAAATCTCAAAACCTCTAGAATTAACAGTGTACCCTGGTTTAACTGAAATTTTTTTTTTCTTTAAGTACTAAAATAATAGGGTATATTATGTTCAAGAGCACCTTAGAGTCAATGAAATACAACAGTAAATAAAAATGGGTAGTGACCCCCAGAACAGTTTGGGACATAGAAAATCTATCACAGATATGTGTGTGGGGGCTGCCAATCATTCCCTGACTCACTAGTGAAAGCGTAACCCAGCATTTGATCTACCAAACACTAGTTTCAAATGTGCCTAGATGCTTTCATTATGAAAAAGATGACTGTAAAGAGCACACAAGAGCAATGAACACAAATCACAATGGAAACAATGGGTCCACACAATGCTCACACCGCTGCATTCCTGGTGACTCTGCCACAGTCACCATGATGAGGAAGTGGTAGCATTTCAACAGAAGTGTCAATCATACCTGAGCGCCCCCATAAACAGAGATGGTAGACATGATAAATTCCTGAGTCAGAAGGGATGAGTGGCCATCTGAGGCCCGCCAGCTCACTGAATGACTTTTCTTGTTTGCTGTTACTATTACTTCCCACAGAATATAATTTTCTCTGACGAATTTAAGTTCAGGTTTAACTACTTGAAATAACGAATATGATGTATATTTCCAATTCATGCACTTAGGCAAGGATAAAAATCTCATTTTAATTTCTGAAACTAAACTTGATTTAAAAAAAAAAAAAAAGAAAGAAAGAAAACCAAAGAGCATTGTGTTGAATTGTTTTTCTGCATTAATAGAGTTTTGAGTGGTTCTGCCTTCACCTCATTTGCCATGTGCTTCTTCTATCTCTGGTAGAAGAGTCTTGAAAACAGAGATTGGAAATGAAGCACTTACGTTTATAAAACACTGCTTTAAAAGATATGTGGGGCAGGAGTTCATGGATCTTCTCTATCACGGTAGCTTCGCCCACTAACGAGGCGTCGACATTCCAGACCTGAATGACATCCTCTCGGTCCCGAACGCTCACGCTGACTCCTATGACTTCGTCATCTGAGAGGAGGAGGACAAAAAGGCGAGAGGTGATTAGACAACCACAAGCTGGTCTCATCACATCTAAGTGCCTGTTGCTTTAGCTGTGCTTTACGGATAAGACAGGGACTTGCCCTGAGTGACTGCTTCCTCGGGGGATGGCTGGGGAACATGAACTCAGCACAGATGCTGCATGAGCCGCATCCCATTTAGCCAGGGACTCAATAAACAGAGTGTTCAAGCCAAATGAATCTTCCAGATAAGTAATTTTCCCCCTTTTTAACATGCTACCCAAAGCTTTCTGTCACTTTCTGACTCCGTTTTGATGAGACTTTTTCTAAAATAGGTTGCATAATTCTCTGCCCTCTGTGAGCCAAGTGAACTCAGATGAACTTTTTGCTTGCGGCCTATCCCTCTCTGCTAAGAGCAGTAAGACCTGTGACGCCCTGCTAAGTCTCTGGAGGTTGTGGGGCTGTTAGGACTATCTTCTCGGAACCTCCTGTGTCCAGCGGCTCCCCTGCTCTGCCTGCTTTGCTTGCTCTTTTCCTGGCCTCTGGCTCCGGGTGCTTTCTTCTGGCAATCACCCCTCTGACTATGTTGAACCAGGGCTTAGAGAGCTCATGGCCACCGGTTAGCATTATGGGTAAACTAAGAGGAAATGTCTTCTGAGTGACACTCCACCATCAGTGCCCAGTGATGGTCATCAGGCAGCAACCTACACTGACAAGGTAGGCTTTTTCCAACATGGGGTCGGCATGGGGGCACTTGAGTGTGGCAGCTGGTCGATGAACCTACTGTACCACTATGCTCCTGTGAAGCCACTCTGTTCACACTAACTGGCAGCAAAATGATAGAAGTGGAGGCTTTCGACTCCAAGCTTTGTGTGCTCGTGGCAGAGACACGAAGCAGAGACAGCTCTTTGTACCTACGTACATAAGTAGCACACAAGAGAGAGGCACTACCTCAGTTAAATAATTTTTTTTTAGTTAGCTGATACATGTTCCCTAATTTGCCATCGACTGTAGGTTGACATATCCATGCCATCAGTTTTTCTACCTGCCTCCTGAACATTTGAACATGTTGGCATTTAATATGATTTACCCAGTCTATTCAAAGAAGCCATTTTCTGTGAAACAATTTCCTTTCTCCTCCATTTCACCCTTCCCTCCCCACTGCCTGTTTTTCTTCATGAGTGACTTTGATCAAGGCTATGGTACGCAGCCTGACACCTTGTGAACCTGAACATGGGTGTTCAAAACCAGGCAAAAATCAGACCATGCTGTTAAAAGTTGGATTGACTACCTCCCGTGAAGAAGAAAACCACGAGGGAAGTTTGCAAGGCAAAGGGGCATTAATGTCCTGCTTCTCAGGATGCATTATCATCGGGTGCTAAAGAGGTGCAAGCGCCCCACCCACGGTTGGAACGTGTAGATACATCCAAATCACAGAAGTGAACAATGACTGACTGGGCCCGCATAGATACGAGTGACCCAGGGCCTTAACTGCTAGTGAAGCTCCCATGAGCTCCAGGAACAGTGGGGGTGGGGGTGGGGGGCACACCTTCAACTCCAGTTTCTGATTGATGCCTTTTAACTCTCCAAGTGTACCAACCCATGACACCTGAGAGGCCATTGCCTCTCTTGTGAAAAGGACGTGATTACTTTGTGACTTGCCGCCAGGCTCCGCAGCTGTAATGTGGGGACTTTTCTGCACATGCATCATATTCAAGCCCACGTTAAAAACAAAGCAAGACTGAATCTTCTCTTGGCCAACCTTGGAATCTCTCATCTCACCAAGATGAGATGAGATGATAAATTTCATGTAAAAATAAACTTATTAAATAAAGAAAGAGGTGATCTAGTGTTCTACTCTCAAGAATGGCCAGGACACCATTGACTCAGTTTTGGGAGGAGATGTGAGTGTTCCCCAGTCCTCTGGGATTATCCTTTCATACACTATTGGTAATGGGCGAGGTCACCAACAGATGCCAAATAGTGCAAATGGTCACTATTTCAGTTTGGCACAGCTTTTAGCCGAATGCGGCCCTTTGGCAAACAGCACTGTCAAAAGCCCACAGCTCTTAGGAGAAGGCAGGTCCATGGTGAACTTCACAATGTTCACATCTGTAACACCTGCGCTGTGGCAGAGCCCTGGCAGCAGAAGACGGTGGGGCCAGGAGGAGCCACTGTTTAAGACGCTCTGTAAGTGAGGCTGAGAAAGACTAGCTGGTTGCCTCAAGTGACAGGGATGGTTAATGGAAGTGCTGAAGATTACTAGGAAAGAGCGTCCTCCTGTCTAGCCGGCCACAGAAGAACTGGCCTTCTTTGCTCACTACTGTGGATTTACTATTACTTATGACTATTCTGGGACTTTCTGTGTTTATGGCTACACACAGGGTACACTTTGGGCCAAATAAAGATGATAGCTCTTCTCCACTGGAACAGGAGAAATCTGCACCTGTAAGACCATTTCATCTTAATATATGCTTTGTCTGAGGCGAGTAGAGGTGGTGTGGGAGGCGGTACAGATAGGCCAAATGGCTGAGCACCCCCCCCACCACCCAGTGAGGAAAAGATGAGGTTGGTCATGAGACTACCAAGATGACAAGAGCTCTCAGAGACAGCCTAAGTCTAACTAATCTACACCAGTTCACACACACACACACACACCAATACCAAAATAGGAAATGAAAGCAGATAAAACCCTGAACCAAAATCAGCATAGAAGAAACAAAAACAAACGAACAAAAATCCCCACAAAACTTCACTGTAAATGTATTTTTCAGGGAAGGAGTGACACAAGCAGTGAACCCCTCCCTGGATGGTTCTTCGATAAACTCAAGGTAAACAAAAAGGGTTCACGGAGGGGAGAAGATGTGACTGTGGCAGAGCTCATGGCTTCGAGTCAGCCCTGTGGTTCCCGCCAGGCTCTCAGAGAGCCGCTCAGCATGCCAAAGCCTTCTCCAAAGGCAACTCCTAAAGCCTGAAGCTCCTGTTTCTACCTTAGCTGAGAGGCCAGGGAGACGTCTTTGTCTCCCCATGTCTGCCTCTCTCTGCAGAGCCAGAAGAGCAAGAGGAAGGGGATAAACTGAGAGAGAAGGAAGGGACTCTTCCTAGCCACCCACAGACCCCACTGTCCCCTTTCCGCCCATGAGGCAGCTACAGGAAACCTACTATGAACCTTGCTAGCCCACTGATGAAGACTTTCCTTTTCTTTCTGCCTATTTATATTAGACGAATGGCTATAACTGTCATAGAGGAAATAACGTAGGCAACATATATGCATATATGTACACACATATTTATGTATGTTTTTATAGATGCACTACATAGCCAGCCCTTGCTATTTATGAAGAATAAGCTTTAGATGCCCTCCAAACCACGGATGTTTAAGTCCTTTATATTAAAGGTCCTTTGCACATAATATTTATTTAGGTATTTATTTTGGAGCAGTTTCTTTTTGCACGCCAGGTGGGTGCTGCACCCCAGAGCTATACTGCCAGGCCAAACTTAATTTGAATCATCTCTTTTTTCACTTATAATATTTAATGCAAATGCTGAGCAAGTTGTTGGCATCGCTTCCTGAATAACGAGGAAAAATGTTTGGTTCAGATGCTGTTCATGCTTCCTACTGTTTCTGATCTGTGAAACCATGGCTGCAGGATCTAAAGGTAGGAAGGGCTGGCTGTACCCACATATACACACACACACGTGCTTATAGATGCAACTCTCACACCAAACCCCAAACCACAGGAACACGTCTAAATTATACCACAGCTACAAAAACCAACACCTTGCAGGCAGGGGAAAAGACTACACGTAAAAACAAAGGTGTGTGAGTAACAGACAGGAAGCAAGCATAGCAGGGTAGGGACAACTGAGCTCTGGGCTTCCTACCTGCTGCCGCACAGTCTGTGAATTGCTCCCCAATGGTCGCTAACAACAGTTCTTTCCAAACTGTGGACTGACGTAGGAGAGAATAAAAATAAAAAAACAAGGCGATGTTTAGGCAATTATCATCGGGTGCTAGAGAGGTGCAAGAGCCCCACCCACGGTTGGAACGTGTAGGTACATCCAAACCACAGAAGTGAACATGTGCTGTCACACATCTACAGGGCAGCTTGCCGATGGCTGACTGGGCCCGCACACATACGAGTGACCCAGGGCCTTAACTGCTAGTGAAGCTCCCATGAGCTCCAGGAGCGGGGGGGGGGGGGGGGGCACACCTTCAACTCCAGTTTCTGATTGATGCCTTTTAACTCTCCAAGTGTACCAACCCATGACACCTGAGAGGCCATTGCTCAACTCCTTCTCTTTGTTTTTTTCCTCTCCCTGTTGATACAGTACTTACAATGTTACCCTGTAAGACTTTACTCAAGTCAAGAATGTTAAGAAACACTGTTATTTACTGAATGCCAGAGACTTGCAAAATTCCCTTTGCTGCCGACAGGTTGTTTGTGCTGAGTGATAACTTCATGTAGGACTGAACACACATAATTCCCCTTGAAGTGATGATTAGCCTGCATTCATGTCGCTCTGCCTCCCGCCAGTGAGAAGCACCAGGGCTCCTCCCGTGGAACGTGTAATAACGCCGTCAGGTAAACAGAATCCACTCGCAGGATACTGGCTCAATGGCTCTCCCAGTTTTTTCCCTAGGAAAGGTTTAGGCTCGCTCTTGCCATGGTTCCTAGGTTTTGAGGCCACCCAGAGCCCAATCTGGATCTGAGAGGTGGTTCACTTTACTCTTTGTGACCCGGGCAGGCCTTGAGCTACTCCAGCTTCCATATGGGAGGGGAAAACGACAGAACTGACCCCAGGGCTGTCGCAGGTAGCAGGTATAGCGCTTGTTAATAACTCCTCTGCACAATGACTGGAAAGAGAGGGCTCAAGATTTACGGCTGTGCCATAAGCGGCGGCATTCATCCATATGCCAGGCACTCCGTACACATTAACTCACAGTGCTTATCCTTACATTCTGATGAGCTTGCAGCAGCTGCTTATCTTTCAGCCAAGGCGATGCTGGTTAGCTAGGGAGCTGAAGGTGAATCTGTACTCCTAGAAAGGCTTATGCCTTCTTTCCTAGACCTTCCCTTCGCCTGTCTGTCCAGCTTTGATCTTGAGCTCCACAGGGAATGAAGCTGAGGTGGGAGAGGAGAGCATGATGCTTCTGTTTGGGACACAGGCTCCCAGACTTCCAAAGGAGGGACTGGGACATCAGAGCCCAGGCACCTGTCTAGACAAGAAAGTGTATCTGTGCCTGAATTCAGCCTAAAGAGCTGCAAGGTAGGCCAGGACAACCCAGCCTTGAGCAATTTTCTGTGGGTGAGGGCATCAAGAGGGCTTCTACTAGAGTTGAAAGTCTAGCGTGAGTAAACTAGGCACAGAAATATGCAAGGTCCCAGGGTGTCCCCCCCAAATAAGCCAGCAAATAAGTGACACAACACTCATAGAAGGGGGTAACATCTAAGAAAAACTAAGGGCATCTTGCTTTTTCTTATTTTCTGCTTGCGCTCTCTTAGCGGACAGAGGGTTCAGCTTGCCTGGCTCCCATTTAGCTCCTCGAGAGTTTTTTCATGTTTGCAGTATAACAAGCAGATGCACAGCTCTGACCAGGCAACCTGGTTGTTCACACTTCAAATGCGTGCTCACGGGGAGATGACTCCTGTTCACGTGCGTGGCCTCCCAGAAGCATTTTAATTCTTTGAGCATAACTGCATGAAAGGAATCCAAAAAAAAATTTTTGCCCTTCTGTCCATTTTATTTCTAATGATTTTTACTAATTATGTATTAATTGGGGGTACACGTATGTGTATGTGTGTGTGTGTGTGTGTGTGTGTGTGTAGGGGTATGTGGTAGCTGGATGTTGATCTCTGGGGTCTGTCTCAGTCATTTCTCCATCTTAGTTCTTGAGAGTGAGGATCTTTTATTGAACTAGCGTTCACTGTTTGCCTAGACCAGCTGGCTGGCAAGTCCCAAATTTCCTCCCATTTCTTTCTCCCCAGCACTCGGTAACAGGTATTCACAGCCACGTTCGGCTTTTTCACATAGGTCCTGGGGATGGGGACCAAGTCATTGTGGTCCATCGCAAGTAGTTTATCAAATGAGCCATCTCCCCAGCCCCTGTTTTGTTATTTTACACAGGGTCTCACTGAATAACATATTAGGATTTGAACTCACAACTTCTTCTACCTGCATTTACACCTTCTGGGATCAAAGGGATGTGCTCCCATGCCCAGATCATTTTGTCTACTTTCAAAGCAGTTCTGTGTTTTCCCAGGACTTAATGTATGTTAATCTTTAAGGCTTACGCTCATGTTTCAGTAGTAAGACTACTCCTAGGGAAACTAGACTACTGAGGCTTGGCCAGATCTGATCCATGCATCCCAATGAATGGGGAGCCCCTAAGTGTCCCTATTTTCCATGTCATGGTCCTTCTGGAGGTGCTTCCATCTTTAGCCAGGAGAGCTGAGCCTTTGGTGGGAAGGACCCTGCCCTTCTGTGGAAGATCAGTCTGCATGTGTTAGGCACACCTGATGAGGAAACAGTTATCATGGATCTGGCTTTGCTCTAAAGTTTATAGGCTCTAGACCTGGGATACCACTGCATGATTTCTGCAGAGTCACACTTACACATTTCCTTATTCTCTGTCTCTGTCTCCCCCCCCCCCCCTAACTTTTGATATAAGGTTTCTCTGTCTAGCTTTGGCTGTCCTGAAACTCACTTTGAAGAACTCACTTTTCGGACCAGGCTGACCTTGAACTCAAAGATGGAGCTGCCTCTGCCTTCTCAGTGCTAGGGATAAAGCTGGACCCCACCACACCCACCATTTTCAAGGTGACAGCATTAGGTGATCATCAACAATGTCAGAGAACAAATTTCTCCACCTAGGGCTGCCAGGAGACTTCTGGGCAGGCTCTGTGAGAAGCACAGTATGTCCAACCCCAAGCCCAGGCAGTCCTGGGAAATGATCAGCAGAGACATACCGTGCAGTCCTTGGGAACTTTCATCTTCCACACGCCACCCTTTGCATTACTCTCTTCCTCCCTACATCAAAGAACAACATTTAAAGTTGCACCCCATGATGAAGGAAAATTTATTTCCATTCCGTTTAACAACAGCTGATATGAAAAAACAAAAGTGCACAGATATTTTTCAGTGGACATCCCCTAACCCTATGATTAGTAATAAAGGCAAAAGAATGAAAAAGGAAGGGAATGGAAACGAGAGAGAGGGAGCAACATGGAATTAGCTCCGATGAGGATGTGGAGTGGCGCAGGGATACAAGGTCCTCATTTTCAAGGAGGTGGTACTAAGGGGCTCACTGACTCTTGGGATGGACAATTGATGCAACTGCTTTGAGGGTGTGAAGATCTATACATTACAAAGCATATTCATGACACTGTCTCATTTCATTCACATGTAATCTAGGAGCCACAGATTTAACAAGTGTTCCTGTGATGGACCAGGGTTTAATAAGCCACTTCCTGTCCAGGAAAAGCATCCCAATTTCCCTGTGAGAGGCATTCTGGTAGGGTAGATTCCATATTTTGATTTTTTAAATACAAGCCTGTATCCTAGGTTTGTTTATAAGGCTACTGTTTCTGTCTCATCTTCATGATTGGCCAGGGATGGAGAGCTGATCCACAGTGAGCCAGTGGTGGCAAACCCTAGCTTTTATTGTGCTTGGAGAATGTGGACACTGATGAATTTGAATTGTAAATCACTGCAGGATTGGCTGTACAGGTCTGTCACCCCAGCTGTTTGGGAGGCTGAAGCAGAGGAATGGCAAGTTCAACACTTATCACGATTACAAAGTGAGTTCAAGGCCAGCTTGGGTAACTTTGTCAGACCTTGTCTCAAAAAAAAAAAAAAAAAAAAAAAAAACAACAACAACAACAAAAACGGGGTTGGGGGCAAGGATGTGGATGTAACTCCAAGGTAGGGTACTTATTTAGCACGTGGTCCTAGTCCATAGGTTCAATGCCAGTGTTGAAAAAGACTAGAATGTGAGATCCTATCTTCCCACAGACAGAAAAATCTGACTGAACACTCAGCCAACATTGCATAAGCAAAGGAAACACAAAGTAGAGTGTCAGAGTCCAGATGAAACCTGGAAACCCAGATGTATGGGACATCAGCCCTACCTGTAGACTACTCAGTTGCAGGTTCCAACAAAATGCTACTTTGTTTCTGTTCAATTTAGGTTTCTACCATTGACTGAGAAATGAGCCAAGAAAGAATTTCATTTTACTTGTGAGTAAGTAACTGTGAAAGGTTAAAAGATACAAGGATTTATTGGTGTAAGAGGCTCTAGCCTGGGCAAACCAGCTGTCCAATGCCTTCACCACTACATCAAGCGATTAAGGGAGCTATGGCAGGCTCCCCTGAGACCCTGGGCCTTGATGAGCAGGGCATGCATTCTGCTAAGAGGCATGCCACAGGTGAAAAGAGTCCTCCTGAGGTTCGTGGCTGTTTCCCTCCCACCTTGACCTCCAGAGGAACCATACACACTTACCAAAGCGGTCGTCTCTCTCCTCTCATTAAGTGATAACTGCATCTCAAAGGCAGGCTGGTCACGGGAGGGATGTTATTGTACACACTCCAGAATACCTTTAAAAGAGAAATACTTCGTTTAAGAGACCTGGTATTGATTAACACGCCAGGACATTATAAAATTAATGGGTTAAAGAAAAAAAAAATTGATTCTCATTAATTCCTAGCCCCTTGGAGTGGATTTTTCTCATTAGCAAACCAAACTTTTTACTGCAGAACATTAAAACATTGTTCCTTCTAGATATTAGGCTAGGTTCCTTTTTTTTTTTTTTTTTTAAAGAAAGCTAGTGTTATGAAGGACGTATTCCTAAGCTACATGTACGCATACAACCAGAGAGGTAAAAACGTACAGTGCCAGAACTGTTCATTGTTTTAGATTCATGTGTTATGATTGTTTTGCACCATGTGTGTGCCAGGTACCTTCAGAGGTCAGAAGCAGGTGTCATACCCCCTGGAGCCGAGGTTGAGAATGGTTGTGAGCCTTCATCTGGGTGCTGAGACCCAAACTTGGGTCCTCTTCGGGAGCAACAAGTGCTCTAGGCCCAAGGACTGATATTAACAAAAATTGTTTTTCATTAGGAATTGTGTTAAATATGTGGATTTCAGCTGCTTTTGTCACAGGAGAATGTGAGATTAGAATGTTAAACTATAACTTTAAGATATATGGAGCCTAGTTTGTTTTGGAAGATTTTATTAGAAAGCTTACAGAAAAAGCATGCTCTGTAGTCTACATTTCAATATAATCTTATCTAAAGACCCCCATCATGGGGTCAGAGAGATGGCTCAGTGGTTCAGAACACTTTCTTGCAGAGGACCTGGGTTCTATTCCCAGCACTCCCATCACGTGAGTTCCAGCCTCCTGTGACTGGGGTTCTGATGCTCTCTTCTGACCGCTGTGGGCATGTGGACACATGTGCACATCCAGATGGGCAGGAGCACAAATAAACACATAAATAAAAAAATAAAAATGAGAGATCCCCATGAGCTCTAATTTCATCATAAGTGGAGACTGATTACAAAGAAGTTAACCCTGGAAAACTCAGCTTCTTGAAACTGTAGGTCATGACCTCGTATGGGTTGCAAAGAAGCTGGTAGCAGGACAAGGTTTCTAACAGGCAGCAACATAAATACGTGATGACTCTGGAATGTTTCTTGGAGCATTTGTCCATGCTGCTCATGTAGCTTCACTAAAGTCATGTTTCTGAACACACAGCATGTGTACACTGCGCTTTCTGTCACAGAATGTAACACCAGTGAGCATGCCTGGGACACCTCCTCTCAGACCAGAGAAGACTGCATGCTATCCCTGCAGGATTTTCACTGTGCACATGAAATCTTCTGTTTCGATGGAAGCATAATGTTGGAGTACAAAGACTTTTAACATTTTATCCTACTGTAATTCCTCAGCATGTACGATCATTAGCATATCTTTGGACTGTAGTGCGTTAGAATGCTTGGCTCGAGGGCTAGAGCGATAGCTCAGGAGTTAAAAGCACTTGTTGCTTTTACAAAGGGCCCAGGCTCAATTCCCAGCACCCACGTGGCAGCTCACAATCTTCCATAACTCCAGTCCCAGGGGACTTGATACCCTCCCTTGACCTCTGCGGGCACCAGGCAGAGTGGTATACATGAAGACAGAACCTGTATACACAGGAATACAAAAAACTTCAGGATGTTTAATTTTTAAAAGTTGATGTGGTGTGGTGTGGTGGTACACGCCTGTAATCCCAGCACTCAGGGAGGCAGAGGCAGGTGGATCTCTGGGAATTCGAGGCCAGCCTGGTCTAGAAATTGAGTCTAGGACAGTCAAGGCTACACAGAGAAAACAAAAATAAAAAACAAAAAACAAACAAAAATAAAAAAAAAAAACCTGATGTTTGAATTGCTTTCTTGCACTTCACTGAAAAAAAAAATCATTAAATGAATTTTGGCTTGGGATTGGGTCCAAATTCCCATGGACTTTTGAAATGGCTGCGAAAACACTTTTGCAGTGCATGTTGATGCACAGTGGCATTCTCAGAACTATGAAATCAAATGTCTATCGATCCTGAAACATATGGAATGCACGCTATGCCCTGTGGTATCAAATATTCAGCTAAGATGCATTCTTTTAAATAAAAATTAAGCATACTCATTTCATTAGTGTGCACATTTGCTTTTGTTTTTAGTAAATGATGAAAGTATATGTATCAGTTAATTATTTAAAAATAAATACTCTTATGGTCCATTATCAGTAATGTTTTAAATGTGCATACCTACTTTATGTTCCTATATACCCAGATCCATGTAAAGTTCCTCAGATGAAAAGGTTCAGGAGAGGAGACAGTTCCAGAAGCCCTGTTCTAGCACACACACATTCTCAAGGGAAAAGGTCTTGCTAACAGATGTTTGACAGGTCTGAGCTTAGCAGAGCCTTCACTATGATCACTAAACTACATTTCTTTGTGATGGACTCTGCCAGGAAGAGGTCTGTGGTGCTTTGCCTCGGGGCTGAGGGTGAAGGTGAGAGGAAGCACCTTAGATTCTGACTCTCTCTCTTGCTCTCCCTAGAAGGATCAGAGAACAGCTGAGCACAATACAGTATAAATGGATTTCTGGTCTGTGTCTTTGCCAAGGCATTCCTTCTGGCCTTCACATACACACACACACATACGCACACCCGGACACCTGAATTAACTGCAGATATAGTAACAATGGACTGAAAGAAAGGCAAAGGCCACATAGAATGTACGTGTGGTAGACTTCTCAGTGGGGAATCCACTTCAGCACTTCAGAAGCCTTCTACTTAAACGGTGCTTATTTAGGCAATCACAGAATCAGCGCGGTGTGATAGTAGACCCTCTAACCGACTTGTGTCCCTGTGGCGAGCTGATGCTCTATGCGTCCGTGAAAACAGTCAGGTCTCACCCTCTCTCTGGGCTGTTGCTGCGAGCAGGCAGGGCTGGAACGTCATTACCAAAGCCCTACTGACCTATTTTCCCTGAGGATACCACTACATGTTTTGTGCATATCTTTCTCCGGTCTTGGAAGTCACAAACCAGTCATGTGTAGAGTCACAGAAGGAGGGACACCTGTAGACAGTGTCTCCCAACTGGCCAGGTACCCACATCTCCACTTAGTTTGCACATAACTCCAGCCCAAGACTCTTGCCATGACATGGCAACAATCTCTGCTGCATCCATGGACCAAATGGCACAAAATAAAAAAGCTCTTCAGAGAAAGCCAGGGGGATGCTGCTGACAGCAAACTTTCCACCCTGAAGGTCAACCCTTCCAAAGCACCTCCCCTGACATCCCTGCTAGGCTTCTCCAGTCCCTGACCTTTTGCATAGCATTTGAAGTACTTAGAGAAGGACACACAGCACACATTTCTTTTATCTCAGAATGAGAAAAGGCCAAAGGACCCCGAGCCTGTTTATTTTGGGGAGTCTGGCAGGAAGAAGATAGACCAGCCTGATGCAATGGTGGACTGAACTTGGAAACTGTTTTGTCGTTGTGTGTGCTTGTGCTTGAACACACAATGGGAGCAAAAGTTCCAAGTACGCCAGCGGGAAGGGAGCCACTCAGAAAGCATGCTGCACTGCACAGCTGTTTCCAAGTTGCTGCACCTCCCTCCTCTGTCATCTACTGGTGGAGAAGGAGCTGGAGGGATGTGCCCACTCCCGGAACTTTGTTCTTCCCTGCGGGAGGCAAAGGATGGACACAGTGCAAGCTTCATGAGTCACAGTGACTGTCTCCAAAACACCTAAATGTTACTACAGGTTCAGCTTTGCAAGTAGACTTCCAGAGGCACCAAGCTTACAATTAATCCTCTTTGGCCTGCAACAGGGCATTGCAGTATGGCTCTCTGACCCCTCAAAGCCTTACTACTACCTGAGGGCTAGCAGAGCTATCAACGCTGGCACTGTTCAGCCAGTCAACATCTGTGGATGCCAGTCGTAGGCAGGACACTGTGACGGAACTAAGTTTACGTGGAAGGACAGCTGTGATCACATGGGCCACTCACTGGTTGATAAGTTTTTAGCATCACTGTTGCTCTTTTCCTTAAGGATCTAAGGCAAGGCAGCGCAATGAGGACTAACACCTGGATTTAAGGCACTGGTTCTCTATGGGCGGTGGTGACACACACCTTTAATCCCAGCACTCAGCAGGCAGAGTAAGCGGGATCTCTGTGAGTTCGAAGCTAGTCTGTTCTACAGAGTTCCAAGACAGCCAGGGCTATATAGAGAAAACCTGTCTCAAAAACAAACAAACAAACAAATAAACAAACAAACAAAAGTACTGGTTCTCAGAAAAGGTCATGCAGTCATCGACACCCCCACCCTGACCCCAAATGCACAGTGGGAGTACCACACTGATGCTTCCTTGGGTGGTTCCTTGACAGTGTACTGACAGCAACTGGGAGGCAAGACATGGTCAGGCATCAAATGTGGCATGGCACTGGCTGCAGTCAACAGCTGTCCTGCCTGACAGTGTTCTGCCACAGCTAACCATTCATTAGGCGAAGTTCACAACTTCCCTCTTCAGTTTCCACCCGAAATGTTCTGAGAAGTGGGGAAGGAAATTCTTGAAAAAGTCTTAGAAAGGTGCTACGCGTCGATGGAAAAAGAATGAAGTGTTTGTTTTATAAAACAAAAGAAAAATAAAGCAAGGGAACCTGAAAAGAAGGAAGTGGGGAAGGAAGGGACGGTGGTTTGGTGCCTATTATTGATTGCCAATTTGACTACATTTGGAACAAACTAAAATCCAGAAAAGAGGGACACACCTGTGAGAGTTTTTTTTCCCCCTTGATATGAAGTGGGGTATCCACTTCTAGTCCAGACCACGAAGGTAGGAAGACACATATCTTTTTTTGTGATTGTTTGTTCTGAGACAGGGTAGGCTTGGCTGACCTTGAACTCACAGAGATCTTCCTGTCTCTGTCTCCCAAGCCCTGGATCTAAGGTGTGCACCACCACCACAACCCTGAAGATAGACATCTTTGATCCTGATCCCGAGGCTGGAATGACACCTTTAACCAGAACCACACCTTCTGCTGGAAGTCTACAGAAGGACACA